GAGAGAGAGAGAGACAGAGGGAAGTGAGCTGCAGTGGTCGAATAAGCTTCACATCTGGCAACACTCAACAATTCAAACAAAGCTTTCTAACTATTTCATCCATCAACAAAGTGTTATATGTGAATTTTACCAAAGCTAATTGCTGTTATTAAGACACTTAAGTGTTTAATTCAAAATTGGGAGCTAAGAGTGTGAATGGCTGAAGGCGAGCACACTGACTTCATATGACATTCAAAATCATATAGCTTGCATATTATCTCAAAAACTCTCAAAATCAAAAGAAAGCATGAAAGAATGTACAACAGAAAAATACTCTATGAAAAATATTTAAAGGATGGTAAAAGTTGGAGCAAAATACTGATTGCATGTAAATGTTTTTGAATCAAAGTTAACAAATCTGAATTTTATCTGGTGGTAGACTTAACTTCAGTCTGGTAGCAACACGTGAAGTTAAATTTAGACTGCACAAAGATGATTGCTTGGGAAATGGGAGGGGGGGTGAGGGTGAACAAAGAGCAATCAAAAGTTTAACTCTGGCACCCTCTAGTGACAGAAGGGAGAAATGCAAGTGTGAACACGACAGAGATTAAAGAATAGGTATTTAGTTTAACTTAGCGGTCTTTGGGACAACTCAGACTGAATGTGTTTCACAAAGTGAGTGCATATGTGCAAGTAAATATGCTGTGGGTAATTTTGAGATGGAGTTTGAAGTTTTGGGGTTTCTACTGAGAATATGCATCAGCAAACAAAACATAAATGCCTCATTACAGAGGAAACTGACAAGAATTTAGCTGTTGCTGATTGGTTCACTTCAACCATCAAGCTTGCATCTAATCACAGTGTTCTAAAATATTTCCACACACAGGCTGGGTTTCAAACCACAAAACTTTGACATATCAAGCTGACACACATACCGGCATGATCTGCTGCAGGTCGTCCAGGGTGGCGGTTGCCATGCCGACGAGGGCATTTTGGTCGCATGGTACAGTAGGTGGAGTGAGGAGCTTCCTGTCAGGGTGGACACACATTCAGGAAAAGAATTTAACTAAATTACAAGACAGTGTGTGCTGTGTACTTTGCTCCAAAATATTGTCCTTGGGGTTGGAGCAACCCCCTAACAAAGCTTCTACAACAGCTACACTGCTGCTTGTGCAGAGGTCTATATTAAAGTGTCACTCCACACTAAATTATATGACTGTTTTGGGATGAGACACATCCATGCTAGTGTTAACATTGACATTTTCATGTCATTTATCAAAATCGGCATTTACTGCTACTGCTTTTAATCACCGTGAACCTTGCAGCGCCAAGGCTGATTCACCGTTTGGGAGAGTGGCCCTATATTGCTTTGCTCGCAGTATCATGATATGTCACAGTATATTAAATCGTAATCCCTGTATTGTGATACGTGTCGTATTGCCAGATTCTTGCCAATATGCAGCTCTAATGAATCTAAAGAAGTCTATGAAAAACCTAGTGCCAAAATCCTTCAAACAGACCTGGATTACATGATCAGTGCAGCAGTCCTTAGAGAAAATACTGCCTAGGTGCGACAGATGGAAACACACACCTACCTGTAACAGTAGAGGGGAAAGTGGATGTCGAGAGCGATGCTGTTGTAAACTGCTAAGCCCATCAGCTGATAACACCGCAGGTTAAAGAGGAAGTAACTTTTGACAAAGCAAATGCACACACACTGTAGATGTCCCAACACATAACATACTGTATGTATTCCCACCATCAGCTTACCAGGGTAGTGATGGCTTGTGCTCTTCACTTAGGTTTCTATGTCAATACATCAGCTTAAATATGATTAGTATAATTAGCCCAAACAAATAAAATAGAAGCCCCATAAACTAACTTACATTTCAACTACCAACACATTTGACCATAATTCTCTAGATGAAACCAGATGTTAGAGATGTATAAATATCTATTTTTGCTGGCCAATAAGAGACACAACCACTACCGATCATGCCAGATGAGATTTTGATAGGACACCTCTGGCTAAGAGGGATACATACATATATACTGGACGTCCTATCCACTTGTCGTTTTTTTCCCTATGTCCAAGGGGCGGTGGCCCAAAGCACATACACAGACACACACACAAAGTGTGTGCAGCTGCAGCATGTGGTGGCCATATGTAGTTTCATTGTGTGTGTAGGTTGAGTGTGTGTGTCTGTGAAATGAACACTACTGATTACAGGTAGGTGACACACACACACAACACACACACACACACTAACAGGCACTGGCACGAAAATAAACATAAACTGTACTATTACCACAACCATTAAGGTCATTAAGAAGTCCAAAACACACACACACACAC